AAATTGTTATATATGAATCCTTTAGGAGAGGGTGAAAAATATGAAAAGACAATTGATTAGATGTTTAATTTACGACTAAGACTGTATGTCTACTAACATTAAGTATTGCAATCTAAAACGGCTACTGATGTATTTGTTTTTCCAACTTAAATAATGCTAAAAAAAACCTACCAAACTATTTTGTTTAGAACTAAGCTCTATATAATTTTTACAATAGCAAATAATAACTTAAAGTTGTATTAATATGTAAGCGGTCAACCTTATGTGCAGGAATTTGACATGAATGTAAAGTTAAGCAACGAATTATCTCCCATTTGAAAATCCAAACACCAAAATTTCATTCAAGGGAAATAACTTTCACAAGAATAGCTAAATTAACCAAGTGTAACTAAGACATGGTTGAAAAACACAATAAAACGCTCTAAATTTCATTACCTAATAATTATAACAAATCTTTTATATTAGCAATGTAACCTTGTGAAAACAATATATTTTACCTATTGAATACTTAACTGTAAGTTTTGTTTGCAAGTCTAAAAATGGTAGCTTTATTATAACATACTTCTATTAAATTTTGATGACATAATTTCTAAAGTAGTTCTGTATCGGGAATAACAGAAAATTTTGGATCCCTTAAATAAAGGGAAAAAAACTAAATAAAGAGACCCCTGTTTAATATAGCAATCACGGGATACTGTTTTAGACAGCTAGAATTATTGATTAATTATAAAATAATTGTAATTTGAAAATACAAAGTTTACCGTTAGTTATAAACTCCATCCTATTTAATATTATATATTAATACTTTAAGAGTGGTAATATAGATTCCTAAAGAACTAAAGCGTTTTCAACTAGAGAACGCCTACCTTTCTTTGTTGTGTGTTCCGTACTGAATTGAAATCATCTAACTTACGATGAACTCGACTACTCGATATACTCTACTACATTCACAACACATATCAAACTTTGATACCTAAACATAACTAGACTCGATGCTCCAGAACTAAGACACCAACTCGTGTTACTTCACCAAGCTCTACAAGCGGTACTCCCAATCAACAACGATTTCACTGGACCTACTACTACACTTTAACAATCAATATAATTCGATACCTTAATACCACAAAAACAATATTCCCGAACTCCCGAACTACGATACTTTATCACCTGCATTATCATTTCTCTATTACCAATCAGATTCCACTAGACCTTCAACTACAAAACAGCGGAATAAAATATATGACACTTTAACACTTCGATACTTTATACCTACGAAACCATATCAGCAACAGCCTTCCGCCGTTACTCCCAAATCTAAACGATTAATCAAAACTTACCAAACAAGTACAATACTTTGAACACCCCATCATTACAAAACTCTATACACCAGGACATATTACGAATTCAAAGTCAGAGAAAACGACTTACAAGACCTATTTAAATTAGATAACCGTTTGAAATGTTCGAAATTTAAATTACGAACTTATATAATCGTATTCTACATCAATTATGTGACACCAAATTAAAAAAGGCAAAGTGACTGGTCAAAAGCGCCCCGACTTTTCTAAATTAGGGAGGTGGGGTTGCATTTTCACCACCGCGAATAAATATATGCCTATATAGAACTAATTTTGGGGTGGGGGTGCAAAATTGATAGTTCGTCTTGGGTGCCGAAATAGATCGCTACTCCTTTATAAAAGTTATTAATTATTAGGTACTTTTTGATAATAGCGATTAAACCTTTTTGCGCCCTCCCCCCCCCCCCCCCTAGAAATGGCGCCCTAGGCGACAGCCTAGTTCGCCATATAGGTAGCGCCGGCACTGCATCTAGGCAACAGGTAGTATATACTAATGTGACAACCTAGTGTACATGTGATCACTTTAATATTAGTCACTTCAGGATGAAATCAATACATTCCTGTCTTTCGTAAGTTACCCCGACATAAATGCCGTAAAAGTCAGTCGTGTTAGGTGTAGCGTGAAAAATGTGTTGAAATCAACTGTACCCCGTATGACACTAGTCATAAACACACAAATGCTAAGTGTTTGTCGTAACAAAGTGTTTTAATGGTCGAATCGATATCGTTAATGTGTCACGTTTTCCATTGTTATCTTTTATTCAAAAATTACCACACACAAAAAAACTGTGATAATATACGAGTTTAGTTTCCTCAGTCACGTCGTGGTCGCTCCCTCCCCAACCGTCCAATAGGATTTGGTGCTTATCGCATTGCTGGTGTGTATCTTCAGCTCAAATTGAATATATTAAGGGAACAATATTTTTGTTTTTGTTTTTCTTTTAAAATGGTCTATTATAGATGTATTCATTTTAAAATGGTGTAATATATTCTTGTATTTTAAGAGATTGATAGAAAACGTATGATTATGTAGCTATCTGCAAATCCTGGTGAAGTTGTTAGCAAAGTGTGTAGCACATATTCCCTGTACCCGCTAAGAACAGTCTGGTGTTGTAAACCCCCATATAAGAACTTGAGTTGCTGGCTGAAACACGGAGATACCTGAGGTCTCTCTGCTGAAGTACCAAACATTTAAGGTTGTTTTTTTCACAATAGTTAACGACCGCCACAATTTCTCAAAAGAAAATTCATCGGACAAAACGGACAATAGACGACACCCCCCCCCCCCCCCCCCACACACACACACACAACCTCAACAGACAGTAAAAACACTTATAACAAACTTGATAAATGCCCCCCCCCCCCTTCCGACAAAATTTTTTTACTTCAAGCGAATTCGCGAACTGACCCTCCAAGACACTCCCCCTCGCCATCTCTCCGATGAAGGCAGATAACCTTATTTTGTTTAAGTTTTTTTTTAGATAATCATCCGAATTCCAGCAAGCAGCTCCAAGCTTGGTGTCAGTGGTAGCCTCTCCCTGACAGGCCAGTCAGTGGTAGCCTCCCCCCTGACAGGCCAGTCAGTGGTAGCCTCCCACTGACAGGCCAGTCAGTGGTAGCCTCCCCCTGACAGGCCAGTCAGTGGTAGCCTCCCCCCTGACAGGCCAGTCAGTGGTAGCCTCCCCCTGACAGGCCAGTCAGTGGTAGCCTCCCCCTGACAGGCCAGTCAGTGGTAGCCTCCCCCTGACAGGCCAGTCAGTGGTAGCCTCCCCCTGACAGGCCAGTCAGTGGTAGCCTCCCCCTGACAGGCCAGTCAGTGGTAGCCTCCCCCTGACAGGCCAGTCAGTGGTAGCCTCCCCCTGACAGGCCAGTCAGCTGACGCCGACCACAAAAGACGGGGTCAAAGGAAAGACAGCCGACAAGAAAGGCCATAATCCACTGATTAATTGAAACCCATCTCTCTAGCTGTGGGTGACCACCCTAACGATACAGCGACCACAGTAAACCTAACCGTAACCCCGTGGTTCCATGTAAACCCGATCCCCCAGGAGAAGATAAAATAAAACACTTGTATTTTTAACATAAAGCTGGCTAAGACAGCTCGGTCACTCCAGGTGTTAACATACATTCCAATTAATTCTTCTTGATTACAAATTTCAATAGGTCGGCCTGGTCGGGTTGGTACAGCTCGTGGTTGCTAAACCGAAAGTCCCGAGTTCGATAACTGGGGACAGCATCCCATCTAGGAGAGACAACTCCAAAGTCAAACAACTACTGCCTTATAGTTTGTTCTTAATTGGACAAAGGCTATGGAAGTAAATCCAAAAAGAAAAGCAGGCTGAGATCGGCCTTTATGGCGCATAACACGTAATACTTTATTGTGTAGTAGGAAATCTCTTCCAACATTACAATTAAGAACGGAGAAGAAGAAAAAAGATTCCAGGTATCAGAATTAGAACTCCAGTAGAAGCTTTGGCAGAAAAATGTAACCAACACATGAAAGAGTTTCGGGAGCAGTGTGGATAGTGTTTCTACTCAAGGGGTGTGGCTTAAAACATTGTGGACGTACTAATTAATGTTACTAGAGGGTAACTCTACAAAATAGTCGGTAAAACCCTGTAGGACTGTAGGAGTTTTGCACTATACTTGGCGGGGAAGCTAAATAGAAATCAACAAAACCATATCAACTACTAGTGTTGCTTCTATAGAATAAAACGATTACGGACAAATACTTGTGTATTTCGTGGATACAATTCATTTAAAATTCACTCATTGCCTAATTGCAGAAAGTGATCATTTGACGTATCTTGACCAACTGCATTAGAAACTTAGAATGTTAATGCTGGCAATTCTGATGTTTGAAAAATTGATATTTTTATGAATAGGCGGAAATTGTCGAAGTCATCCGATTGGCACAGCCGAATCACGTGAGCAGAGTCACCTACTATGTCAACACGGCACACCCCCCGACAGTAAAATAAATTGATCCCGCAATCAATTTCTGACGAAGGTCGACACAAGCGTTAAGCATTGTCTGCCCGGGCACGCAGACTGGTTTATTCCTGGTCGGCCGCTAGGGTTTCACCCCGGGACCCCATACATTCGTGGGCGTGCACACCCTGGGACCCCCGATCCCAGTTTCAATACGCCACGACAACATAGAATGAAACTCGCCGGCGATTCGTGAGATGATTGCGTTCATTCTTTAAACGACCGTTTAACTGGTGTCAATTATTTGGGGGTGGGAGAATGGATTCAGCTTGAAGGTGTTTAACATGGTGGGGGGGGGGGGGGAAGCATGTCTAAGAGAATTATCGATTTGCCATTTTCAACTATAAAACTGTTAAAAATAATATAATTAAAATAGTGTAGTGACAAAATGTAATTTGTGATTGGTGATTTTAAATTACAAAAATAAACGCCAACTTGAAGGTGTTTAACATGGTGGGGGAGGGGGGGGGGGAAGCATGTCTAAAAGAAATATAATTATCGATTGATCATTTTCAACTATAAAATTAACTATGTTAAAAAACAATATAATTAAAATAGTAAAGTGACAAAATGTAATTAATTAAATAAATTAATGATTGGTGATTTTAAATTACAAAATGAACGTGACGTTATAAACAAAGGGCTAGCTACCTTTCTGCCTTGTGGTGTGGAATCTCTTGAAGACTTTCTTCCAGTTCTGGAATACAGAAGAAGGCCAGACGTTACAGAAGGTATAAACATTATGACACGGTAAACTGGCATTATTCAATGACATGTGATATGTATACACAAGTATAACAATTTTTTTTCAAGAACAGAGATGTAGCTGACCAACTAAATAAGATTTTTTTTCACACCAGAAGTAGGATGCAAAGTCCTATTGTGACAAAATATCAAAGGTATCTTTTTTTTTCCAGGTGGAAATAGACATTATAACTAAAAAAAAAATAGTTCACTTATCACACACTTTTTTTTTTGGTGAAAATTTTGGGAAGAAAATTTCCCCATGGGGGAAAATCATATTTCCTCTCTGTAACATTAGGTTGGGGGCTGTGGGGGGGGGGGGGGGGGAAGGAGGGGGGTTGATAGGCGACCAATATAGGTTCGTTTTAAAAAATAATGAGCGGATTTAAAATATTTTACCAAATCATATTTTAAAAATATTTTAGCCATTCACAGACAACATTGTTTTACAAGACAAATTTACTTTTTTTCTAAAATTCTTTTTTTTAGAAGTGGTCAGTGGTTGATTTTTTTTTCTCCCTTGCTGCCTAGAGATAACTGAAGACTAGGACCAGCCGACAAAAGGGACAGTGGGCAGCTAGACCTTTCAAACGGAAAGAGGACATCAAGTTTACTGCCGGTCCACCGTTTGCCGGGTACGTCTCGCGAGCCGGACACAAAAGATTTACGGGTATGTCCGCCATTGTTTGCCCGGGCGCCCCATGAAATGTGATTTAGCGGCCCGTCTACCCCGGCCCCGGGCTGAGTAATACACATTTAAAGCTAGTCAGACACCGAGTGCCACCTAGCGGATGGCTTTCACGCACGTGAGTGCCGGGCAGGGGCGGTGATAAAATGAAGTGATGTGGGTGTGCAGGGCCGTGTGATTAAATTTCCTCGAGTATTGTTATCGGCATTCCGCCATCTGCTCCCCTCCTGCTCTAGACGCAGGCCTGACGTTTTCGGGACGACGTTTATTGAAATATTGGTACTAATGAAGATTGTATACCGGCTGATTGCCGGGATAACTGCCAATAAGAGAGCCGGCACTCGCCGGCTTAACCAATCACTATTGCCGGTTCAAGGATCTGAACCGGGCGGTATGTTTTCCTAGGGTTTAGTTTATTGTTTTATATTTATTTCTTTCGCTTTCTTCATTTTTTATGGTCTCCCTTGAAAGAGTTTCTATTCCGATCCCTCTTGAAGCCGGCACAAGGGCGATTACTGCGGTAACCCGGTTCTGCTGTTGCGGAGTTGATATGAACCAAAGAGGAAACAATTGATATTAGCGCCCTTAAACAAGGGACACAACTGCTAATGAATGTTGAATGGAGACGGAACTGGCCCGAGTTGGGGGAGTTGCCAGGGTACACAACTCCAGTCGGCCCACAGCAACTCGTCGCGGTGAAAGGAACGAGGGCAGCAATAAAAGCACTAATTGCCGAATGAAAATGAGAGCCACCGAGGACTTGGATGCTGACATACAATAAAACAAAGTTAACTGCCCGCTGCCAGTGAATAATCTCGCTCTCATACCTGGTCTCATTTTTTTTACATCTTTTATATAGATTGACACGGGGGACTTTGGATTGGCGACTTTAAGGTTTGATATCAGCATCAAAGTATTTTGTGTTTTATTTCTGATCAATGGTATCATGTTTTCCCCTTGGAACAGGGCACACACTAACACTGGAGTCTTGGGATAGCTTCCTATGCCACAAGTATATACAACGTCCTGATGGGTAGAGTGAACCTAACTCAAATAGGTAGAAAAATACAAGGCGCCTGAGGATACAATCTCTCTATTTCATCTGTCCTATGTAATCCGGTTCTAAAAATGTACTCAATACCAGTGGTGTAGTGAGGTCGGGTGTCACCCGGTGCGGCACTTAATGGTGTCACCCCCCAGAGCCGTAGAGACCCTTCCCGAGGACAAACTTTCAAGTTTCCGATTTGCACCCCTCCCCCCCACGCAAACTTTCGATTTGCACCCCCCCCCCCTCAAGTTTTTCTCTATATATTTTGCTATTTTTTGCCTTGGTGTCATCCCCCCTAAATGGTGTCACCCGGTGCGGTCCGCACCCCCGCCCCCCCCCCCTCGCTACGCCCCTGCTCAATACTATTTTAAATTTATAAAGACATCACTTTTTTTTGTACTGTTTATCAAAATAAACATAACTGAACATGAAGTGTTACTTCAACGCGAAAGGTAGACACTGGTAAAGAGTACAGCCCTAGTTCACCAGAATGTATAGGCCTGGCCCATCTGCCAACACCTGTATGCTACCCACCACTAACCCTAACCCGACAAGACCCTCCATTATTTATTAACGCCGGGTCGATCACTAAAATATCAGACCCCTTCACTTTAAACGTCAGCGGGCACACATTTTACCCATCCGCTAAAAACAGTGTCAACACATTCAAACGCCCCCCTCCCCCCTCCCCCAATAAATAACTGCTAAAACATTGCCAACCACAACACATTCAAACGTCCCCCACAATAAATAAAATATTTCTCAAAAGGTGATAAAATACAATTTCATTACCCAAGCTTACAAAACGGAGATCCGAATTTCTCACCTCGGATGAAAGGGCCCTTACAAATGTCTACATGCCTGGGTGGGCTGGGAGCCACAATGGCCCCCATTACCATATGTAAGGGGACACCCGGGGTATATCGCTGAGAGCTATAATAGTAGGTCTCACATACAATTAGACTAAACGCGTCTGTGATTTCTATCTAGTGTTTGGTAGTTAAATGTGAATTTTAACTAGTCGTTAGTAGTTACATTTGATTTCCACCTAGTCTTTTATAGTTGTTTGATTTTGACCTAGTCTTTTATAGCTGTTTCATTTCCACCTAGTCTTTTATGTTATATTGCACTTCCATCAAGCCTATTTCATTTCCATCTAGTCTTAGTTAAATTGATTTCCATCTAGTCTTAGTTAAATTGATTTCCATCTAGTCTTAGTTAAATTGATTTCCATCTAGTCTTAGTTAAATTGATTTCCATCTAGTCATTTGCAGTTACATTTTAAATTTCCATTCCGATTACTTTTCTATATGTAACTACAGAGATGTGTGACTTGACATTCAATCTATGCCACTATTTTTAAGATAAATGAACTAATTATAATAATTTTATTTTGATAGCAGTCAACATAGAATCATTTGCCGTTATGTATTGTTTTGATACTTGTAAATCTAGTACCCTATAATTAGAACAAATGTCTCCAAAATCAACCACAAAACGTATTGCGTCATTATACACATACTGATTCCTCAGATCCGTTGAATTTACGGCACTAGCTAAAGAATATTATAAGCCTTCTGTAAGGACCTGGCAATTCATTGCAGTGGAACTGAGAAGGTTGGGAGGTACAAGTTGCGTATACTACACGCCATCATGACCAGACAGACACTAAAACGGGAGCCCTCAAACCATGCGTAAAAAAAAAAGACCGCTCCAAGAATAGCCGGACGTTTAACCCAGTGGTCGCTACCGTCGTGATGTGTGACAGGGGTAACCAGCTGGACAGAATGGCACTGGACATGAGACTCAGCTGGCCGACCATGCCCGTGTGATAGGTGTGACCAGCTGGACAGAATAGCACTGGACATAGACTCAGCTGGCCGACCATGTTCGTGTGATGACCAGCTGGACAGAATGGCACTGGACATAGACTCAGCTGGCCGACCATGTTCGTGTGATGACCAGCTGGACAGAATGGCACTGGACATAGACTCAGCTGGCCGACCATGCCCGTGTGATAGGTGTGACCAGCTGGACAGAATGGCACTGGACATGGGACTCAGCTGGCCGACCATGCCCGTGTGATAGGTGTGACCAGCTGGACAGAATAGCACTGGACATAGACTCAGCTGGCCGACCATGTTCGTGTGATGACCAGCTGGACAGAATGGCACTGGACATAGACTCAGCTGGTCGACCATGTTCGTGTGATGACCAGCTGGACAGAATGGCACTGGACATAGACTCAGCTGGCCGACCATGTTCGTGTGATGACCAGCTGGACAGAATGGCACTGGACATAGACTCAGCTGGTCGACCATGTTCGTGTGATGACCAGCTGGACAGAATGGCACTGGACATAGACTCAGCTGGTCGACCATGTTCGTGTGATGACCAGCTGGACAGAATGGCACTGGACATAGACTCAGCTGGTCGACCATGTTCGTGTGATGACCAGCTGGACAGAATGGCACTGGACATGGGACTCAGCTGGCCGACCATGCCCGGGGAAGATGGTCTGGGGAGTTGCCGATGCCCAACTCACTGCATGTTACAGTAACTGTCTTATGTTACAAGTCCCTTATTTCAACAGCTGTATGTAAAGCAATACAGTCACATAATTTATGTAGATCTATGTACTAAGAGCACTGTTTAGTAATTGTACATGTACAACACTTAACACAGCCAGCGTCTCATTAATATTTAACACCTAAATGTTTCACCACAAACACAGCTGTTTGATTCAAATATTGGGTGATGAATTAAGCAGGAAATGTGTGTGTGGGGGGTTGGGGGGCACTGATGCTTACAGCGCGGGCTGGTGATTAGTCTCACTTAGCAACTGGACTCCGCGGATCACTGATTTATCTCCCCCCCCCCTCTTACACACACTAGTGAAGTCGACCAGAACTGCCGGCGATATTGGTCGACTGTGGTCACGCGATAACCCAGCACCCCTCGCCTTGTTTCTACCGTAGATCGCTATCGTGTATCATGCCGTGAATAGAGATGTGATTCAGAAAGTACTTGAAGATGTGGGCGTTCACTAGGTAGGTGTTCGTTCCCCCGGCCCCAGCACTCGATCACATTACAGTCCGCCGTATGGTGTTGGGCCGGTGGTGTTCTAAAGTTAATGGGTGGATGAAAGGGGTACGTCGTGGTTTTAATATGCAACAAGTCAGGGACAGGAGTAGAGTTGCGACGGCTCCGTGGGACGTTGGGGTGGGAGAGTTCGTTGTGTGAAAACATGGGTGGTGGTCTAATGAGAATGGGTGGTGTACATGGGGGATGGGGATTTACCGAGGGTGGAGGGTAGGGATTTACTGAGGGTAGAGGGTGTCGTGGTATAGTAGTAGCAGCTAATGGTGTCAAACCAGGTGTGGTGTCTTGATAAATGGAAGGTGTCATACTGGGAATTGTATACGATGGAGTGTGTGGGGTGTCAAACTATGACTGGGATCCAGAAGAGAGATGAATGTCCCACTAGGAATGTAAGGTACCCTCTATACTCAATGACTAACCAACGAGTACAGAATATTTGGTGACGTCCTGGCTACAGGGAAGAAAATCCTTTTTTTTTAATTGAAAAACGTGTTCAATTAACTTTTTTGTTAGGCGAAAGAAATTTTACAGTAAACACAATGGCATAACACAAACCATAAACCGTTAAGAGTTAACACAATGGCATAACACAAACCATAAACGGCTATCAGTTAACACAATGGCATAACGCGAACCATGATCAGCTATTTCTACCCCTGATAGAACTAGCAGCTAGAGTATCCCAGTGAGTTAGCGAGAGATTCACCTACCTGGCTATTTTGTCGAGTTTATCGATCTCCAACATGAGGTGTGCCTCCAGTTCACCGGACCGTAGCGTCAGGCCACATACTGGACAGCACGGGGTGTGGCCATCGAGTACCACGCGCTTCCTCTGTTCTGGAAACAGAAACAAAAACATTCCCATTAAAGCATAACAGCAGCAAAATTTGGTTTAATTACACTCAAGCGGCCCTCCCCCCCCCCCCCCCCCCCCAACACCAACCAACCAAAGCTTAAATCAAAAACTTTTTTTCACCAATGACAAAAATTATGCAATTAACAAACGCACTATGGTTGTAATAAAATACTAATTTGATCAATTGGACATGCCTTTGTTCAATAAAAGAGGAAGGAAACTCCAGCATTAGCTTATTCGTGGTACACAAATTATACCTCTAAAGTCTAAAGCAATGATCTCTTAGTTCTATGATCTAACACAGGGGTTCCCAACCCCGTGCCCGCGGGTGCCATGGCGCCCGCCGAACGATTCGTATGTGCCCGCCTCTCACTATTCGACAGAGACAGAATTTTTTTCTTAAACATTATTGAAAGGTTGCAGGGGATGGAAATCGAAAGTTTGAGGGGGGGGGGGGTGCAAATCGAAAATTTGAGGGGGGGGGGGGTGTGCAAATCGAAAGTTTGAGGGGGGGGGGGTGCAAATCGAAAGTTTTGTCCCCGGGTGACGGGAAGGGTCGCAATGATCTCTTAGTTCTATGATCTAACACCTCTAAAGCAATGATCTCTTGGTTCTATGATCTAACACCTCTAAAGCAATGATCTCTTGGTTCTAGATCTAACACCTCTAAAGCAATGATCTCTTAGTTCTATGATCTAACACCTCTAAAGCAATGATCTCTTGGTTCTAGATCTAACACCTCTAAAGCAATGATCTCTTAGTTCTAGATCTAACACCTCTAAAGCAATGATCTCTTGGATCTAGATCTAACACCTCTAAAGCAATGATCTCAGTTCTAGATCTAACACCTCTAAAGCAATGATCTCTCAGTTCTAGATCTAACACCTCTAAAGCAATGATCTCTTGGTTCTAGATCTAACACCTCTAAAGCAATGATCTCTTAGTTCTAGATCTAACACCTCTAAAGCAATGATCTCTTAGTTCTAGATCTAACACCTCTAAAGCAATGATCTCTACCCGACTTAACGTGCGACATGCTACGACACCCTAGTTCCCAACCATAAAGTTATTACCACCATCATCGCCAGTATCATCAACTACAGTGCAAGCAAGAACAAACAGCCTCACTGACAAAAGACGACGGTTACGGTCGCTACTTTAATCAGATTCTTCATCTACACAGCTTTGTATTTCTTTATATTTTTAAAGATTTAAACACAAGACAATCAGCTGAGAGACAAAACGAGTTGCAGCTCCGCCAAGGAATACGGGCTTAAAGAGGGATCTGCCATAAAGCAGTGACACCTGACACCCAGGTAAGGATCGCTAAGTGCATCACCGTCTAGTTAATGCGCGGTTCCCCCACCGGTTGAAATATGACGAGTGCTGCACTGATCTCTTTGTGCCTCCAAGTTTTTAGCCGAAGCAATCTGATTAGAAGATCTGGGTCCACACTGGAACTGTGTTAATTATTGCCAGATCATTTAATTTTTTTTTAAACTCCACGTACGTGCTTTATTTGTATATGCATAAATTATGGGCGTGTTTAAAGGCTGGTTTATAATCATGTGACAGCAGTTGACGGTGCAAGGTGGTAATGTGTGGGTGGAGTAGTGTCGGTTCGGGAGGTGCAGTGGTGTTAAATGGGAGACAAATGAGGCACGAGCTATGTGTTTATGTTTTTGCTGTCAAGCCTTGTAATGAAATACGAAATCTATTGGGAAAAGAAATCCCAGTATAATAGAAGGCGCAGATAAATGTAGATTACAGCAGTATTTTTTTAGTAATTCCTTATTGTGTTTTGATGTTGGGAAATTTTATATTTGGTTTTTCTAGCATTTAGAAAGCCAAGTGCTTTCTGTCTTTCTTATGTCAACAATTTGTAATGTTGCATTTTTGAAATAAGAGATGAGTAAGCTTGATGTATAGATGGGTTTCTCAAGTTTCTTTAAAAAAAAAAAAACAACACTACAATCTATTGACATTTTGTTATTCGTCGCATTTTTATTCGTAGAACTTTTGCATAGAGTTAAGCATTTTTTTTCATGCTTCAAATTCCACGTATGTTTGGGGCAGCCAACAGTATAGTGTATACACAGCCAAAAGTATAGTATATAAACAGCCAACAGCAAAGTGTATAAACAGGCAACTACACAGTGTAAATACGAAGGGGGGGGGGGTAAAAAAAAGTGAATCAGTCAAACTGTTTTACTTCCCTAGGAGTTGTCCTACGTCCGGCGGGGAGCGATACATTTTAAAATGTTACATCAACGCATCTGGTTCCCGGCTTAACGGAACTGTTGTGAAGTACGTGTTCAGGAATCGCCCTTTGTGGCACCCGCGCGTCAATCACTGTCGACAAGAACCGACGTGACACGGGCCTGACATCTTGGTGCTCACGGCACCGAACTGTTTCAGGCAACCGTGTCACGTGACTCCCGCCGTGACGGGTCACGCGGCATCAGGCAATCAGACAATCTGGCAACTTCAGACCCCGGCGTGGACAATAAAAAAAAACAACCGCGCTATCTCGAGTCGGCGTCGAACTGTGATGAGCTAGAACAACAGTCGCTCCACGGATTGAGAAACTCCAATAGAAGACGCCGCATACCCCAAGAAGCTCGTCTAAGTCTCTGTTATATCGCATTATAAAACAACACCTTTTCAGAAAAATACTTCAAAGACAGACAATCAAAGAAAGCCACGGAAACTGTGAACAAGAGACGGAGGGGAGATATGGTATAATGTCGTGACTACCAAGCGTTACGTTCTTTGCCGTGCGACAGGCACAAAAAGTCGCGAGTCCCCGTGTGTAGCCCACTTAATGGTCGACTAATACCCAACGTCTTCAGATCAATTACAAGCGGTGGCCGAGGGCTGCTCGCGGGGTATGCCGAATCTCCATTTTATTGCTGGTTAAGCCGATGCTATCATGAAGAGACACTCGGAAAGATCCCCCAGACTCACCCCACCGAGGTGGCTACTCTGGGTGCCTCGCCCCACCCACTGAGTTCCAAGGGTGTCTACAATGGATACATTTTTTTCATATTTCTTGTGCTGATCCTTGTCTAGGACCTGGATTTTAAATGTGGAGATCTAGAGCTATCCGTAAGTGTCGAGCTCGACTCACGAATCGTATCAATCTGCCGTCTCTGCTCCATGCGGAAATTATGGGTATCGGAAATTATGGGAATCGGAAATAATGGGTATCGGAAATTATGGGTACCGGAAATTATGGGTACCGGAATGTTCTCAGAAGAAGCGGTGACAGTAAGATCAGACGATCATTAGAATGCCGTGCACAAGAGATATGAACAGCTGGATACATTTTACAATAATAAAATATTAATAAGTTGACAAAAAGAATAGATGCATAGGTAGACAAATGGATCACCTGATTAAGTGGACAAATGGATCACCTGAATATGTGGACAAATGGATCACCTGAATAAGTGGACAAATGGATCACCTGAATAAGTGGACAAATGGATCACCTGAATACGTGGACAAATGGATCACCTGAATAAGTGGACAAATGGATCACCTGAATAAGTGGACAAATGGATCACCTGAATAAGTGGACAAATTGATCACCTGAATAAGTGGACAAATGGATCACCCGAGTAAGTGGACAAATGGATCACCTGAATAAGTGGACAAATGGATCACCTGAATAAGTAGACAAATGGATCACCTGAATAAGTGGACAAATGGATCACCTGAATAAGTGGACAAATGGATCACTCGAATAAGTGGACAAATGGATCACCTGAATAAGTGGACAAATGGATCACCTGAATATGTGGACAAATGGATCACCTGAATAAGTGGACAAATGGATCACCTGAATAAGTGGACAAATGGATCACCTGAATAAGTGGACAAATGGATCACCTGAATAAGTGGACAAATGGATCACCTGAATAAGTGGACAAATGGATCACCCGAGTAAGTGGACAAATGGATCACCTGAATAAGTGGACAAATGGATCACCTGAATAAGTGGACAAATGGATCACCTGAATAAGTGGACAAATGGATCACCTGAATAAGTGGACAAATGGATCACTCGAATAAGTGGACAAATGGATCACCTGAATAAGTGGACAAATGGATCACCTGAATATGTGGACAAATGGATCACCTGAATAAGTGGACAAATGGATCACCTGAATAAGTGGACAAATGGATCACCTGAATAAGTGGACAAATGGATCACCTGAATAAGTGGACAAATGGATCACCTGAATAAGTGGACAAATGGATCACCTGAATAAGTGGACAAATTGATCACCTGAATAAGTGGACAAATGGATCACCCGAGTTAAGTGGGCAAATGGATCACCTGAATAAGTAGACAAACGAATCATGTGGTAAAGTAGGAAATGGATTTCTGGATAAACGTTACCAAAATGACCAGCTGGATAAACGAAACTACACGGATCACGTGGATAAGCGAGGCCTAATGGATAAGCGAGGCCTAATCTGGATTACCGAGACGTGAAGGCTCGTGTCACCATCTGACATATGACCTTTGACACTCGTATCACTGGTGTGGCCACCCCTGACCACCTAAGCCGGCTAACCCCTCGAGCTTCCAGCAATGTCAGCTTATCAAATCCTGACTCGTTGCCTTTCACAGCATCCATAACTCAAATCAAACCGCATTGATTAACCCGACACCTGTTAGCAAAAAAAAAAAACCTTCCTTAATGAATATGTACTACTATGAGCCACCCCCCCCCCACCCCCACTACACACTCCCAATTCCCGCGCGCTGAAGCCTTCGTTTGACCAAGTCGCCCCTGTGTATCGGTGGATTGTCGCTAGAGTCGCAACACCCTCTCTCTATGTGATCACCGCCCGCTGCGCACCTGCGAGATAGTGCCAGCGTTCAGCCGAGCCTTAACGTTTATAACCGCGTTCAATTGAAATGCCGTTTTGTGCTTGCAACCCAAATTTATAGCTTCTGTAACCCCTA